CGCAGCCAGGACAACCAGTGCCGGCAGCACCACCAGTGCCAGCAGTGTCACCAGTGCACCCACGATGGCCGGTGCACCCCGTGCCACCAGTGTCACCAGTGTGAGCGTAAGCGCTGCTGTCAGCACGATGACTGGTGCCACCAGTGCCGCCAGTGCCCCAGTACCACCAGCGTCACTGGTGTGAGCATGATGACCAGTGCACCCAGTGCCACCGGTGCTCACCAGTGCCCCCAGTGTGAGCGTGAGCACCAGCGTCACCAGTGCCGCCAGCGCTGCCAGTGCCAGCGGTGCCAACAGTCTCACGGCTGCACCCATGATGACCAGTGCACCCAGTGCACCCAGTGCTACCAGTGCCCCAGTAGCACCAGTGCCTCCAGCGTGAGCGTGAGCACCAGTGCCGCCAGTGCCACCAGTGCGAGCACGACCAGCGGTGCCACCAGTGTCACCAGTGCACCCGTAACGGCCAGTGCCCCAGTACCACCAGTCTCACCAGTGTGAGCATAAGCATCAGTGCCCCCAGTGTCAGCAGTGCACCCATGATGACCAGTGCCCCCAGCGTGAGCACGACCACCACTGCCAGCAGTGTCACCAGTGCCCCCAGGATGACCGGTGCACCCAGCGTGAGCATGACCACCAGTGCCCCAGTACCGCCAGGGCTCCCCAGTGCCACCAGCAGCACCAGCACCACCAGTGTCGCCAGTGCACCCATGACGACCAGTGCCCCAGTGCCACCGGTGCTCACCAGTGCCCCCAGTGTGAGCACGAGCACCGGTCTCCCCAGTGCCACCAGTGCACCCATGACAACCCGTGTCACCAGTGCACCCATGACCACCAGTGCCCCAGTGCCACCAGTTCTCACCAGTGCCCCCAGCAGCACCAGTGCCCCCTGTGTGAGCACGAGCACCAGTGTCACCAGTCTCACCAGCACCACCAGTGTCACCAGTGTGAGCACAAGCACCAGTCTCGCCAGTGCCACCAGTGCACCCATGACCTCCAGTGTCACCAGTGTGAGCATGACCACCGGTGCCAGCAGTGCCCCCAGTGTCACCAGTGCACCCATGACGACCAGTGTGAGCACGAGCACCAGTGTCACCAGCGTGAGCATGAGCACCAGTGCCCGCAGTGCACCCATGAGCACCAGTGCCCCCAGTGTGAGCACGAGCAGCAGTGTCACCAGTGTGAGCATGGCCACCAGTCTCCCCAGTGCCACCAGTGTGAGCACGAGCACCAGTCTCCCCAGTGTCACCAGTGCACCCAGGAGCACCAGTGTCACCAGTGTGAGCACGAGCAGCAGTGTCACCAGTGTGAGCACGAGCACCAGTCTCCCCAGTGTCACCAGTGCACCCAGGAGCACCAGTGCCCCCAGTGTGACCATGACCCCCAGTGCACCCATGACCACCAGTCTCCCCAGTGCCACCAGCGCACCCAGGAGCACCAGTGCCACCAGTGTGAGCACGAGCAGCAGCCTCCCCAGTGTCACCAGTGTGAGCATGGCCACCAGTGTCACCAGTGCCACCAGCGCACCCAGGAGCAGCGGTGCCCCCAGTGTGAGCACGAGCAGCAGCCTCCCCAGTGTCACCAGTGTGAGCACGAGCAGCAGTGCCACCAGTGCCACCAGCGCACCCAGGAGCAGCGGTGCCCCCAGTGTGAGCACGAGCAGCAGTGTCACCAGTGTGAGCATGGCCACCAGTCTCCCCAGTGCCCCCAGTGTGAGCATGACCACCAGTGCACCCATGACCACCAGTCTCCCCAGTGCCACCAGTGCACCCAGGAGC